ATTGTAAAATACTCTGAAGAAAACTCCGTCTTCGGGCAAGTCTCTTATTAGTACTTATTCAATGCTTTTTGGCTGGGAGGGACCAGAAAGGGGGTGGGGTGGGGGTGGGCGCTTATTAACTTTTTCTGCCTTTAGGATGGGCACTTATTCGAGGTGGGCACTAATTCAAGGTTGGGCACTTATTCTAATAAATACGGTATGTGCACAAATGTAACCCTTTTAAATGATTTTTATGCACATATGTGTTTCTTCTACTAAGACACATTTAGGAACATCCCTTGAAGGTATATATATTTGCCTATGGACAGCAGGGCCTAGGTGAACACAAACAGGTGAAAGGGCACAATGGGGTAAGGGATGGCTATTAACATTATAACTTGCCGCAAATTCATAGGTTTTACAAGAACAAAACAGAGGAGTCTCCTGGGTGGAATGACAACATACTGGAATGGTGCCTCCAGGAAGCACGACAAAAGCAACTTAGAGAGGGAGATTACTGGGGAGGGTTTGTTTTGGATGAGATGAAAATACAGGTAATCAGTAAATAACAACTGAAATTCACATATTTACTCTACAGATGTTATAGTTTGAATGTTTACCCTTCTCCCCTAAGAGTGATCAGCATCAAAATCCTCCTTGTAATATCAATGCTTTGTAAAACAGAGAGGTGATGAGAATTACAGACATGATCACAGAAGATGAATTTGTTTGATATTTTATCTCCCCACTCAAGTGTAACCTCTGTAAGAACTGAATAGGGGGCAACTAATGAGAATTGAAATTTTGACCTTAGGGTTTAAAGGGTTAAGATACACAAGAATTTAACCTAAACCTTAATACCCTTTTTCACTTGGATGAAAATTGATAAAAGGGCTTATTTTTGGTTTTAATTTTGAAATTATTAGTTTTACCTTCCAGCAGCTCAGCTGTTTTCATTATGAATATATAAAATGTTTATTTGAATCTTGTTTCAGGAAAATATTGAAATGGTGCATCGAAATGGGAAACACAAACTTGTTGGTTTTGTTAACTTGGGAGAAACACAGTTTTTCAATGACCATGAAATTCAGAGTCCGGGTAGTAAGTTAATCAATTGTGGCTCTGAAAAAATTTGAAGGAAAAAAAAACTATGAATTTTTAAGAAAACGCTTTTTTCGTGGGAAGGACTCTCAAACGCTGACAAACGTCAACAAATAGCGAAAACTATAATTTCTATATGTTTGCTTTGCTCGAAATCGCGCGCATTTACACGGCCCTAAAGCGTTTTGCTGACTTGCAAGGACCCATCTGTTATAACGATGCCCAAAATAAAGAGATGAATCTCATAGTTTATTAGATATAATCCGTGTAAAGTTTGCTTATCGTTTTCGCATAAATTATGACCTAAATTTGGAAACCGCTGAATTTCTCGAATTGGGTCTTTGCGATTTTGGAGAAACTCTGTTCAACGCAAGGCACTAATGCGCACTATGCGTAGCCGAGAGACTTTCACGAAAAAATGCCGGCAACAGCAGATTTTCGACTCAGACCTCAAAGGGGCGTGGCATTATAACCACGTGACATTTACTCCGATCGCCAAAAATTTTATGTTATATTGTAGATTGATCTATATGTTATCCATTTTATGTGTTAGACTTAGGATAAAAGTAAAGGTGGGGATACCAGAGAGCTTCAAAGTAGGATGGTACCCCCCAAAAAAAAAAAAAAAAAAAACTGGGTCGAGTCACCTTAAATTAATGTGATAAGTGACGAGCACACTTTCTATTGCAAGGCAAATATTCCCGCCATTACTGGGTTAGGAGTGAATGCATGTATTTTGTAGCGTCAACGTTTTCTTTTCGCATTCTTTATGCCTATAATTATAACAGTGCATGTACTGTTTCCGAGCTAAGTGAAACGGATAATATTAAATAGTAGATGGATACAGAACTAGAAAGCATGAGGAGCTTCAGTTTGCTAAGTTTATTTATTAAGCTTGAATTAATATTTTCCCTACTAGTACTAGCAATACTCAGGGCGAGCGAAAAATGAGATGAATGCTCTGCTAACTTTGAAATGTATATTTAATATGTTAGAAATTCAAATTTCAAGTCGCTAGCTTACTTACAAGCTGTTATTGTATGTTAATTTCAACTGATCTATCCCTGCTGCATTTTAGGTTTCCTTTCAAAACACGCAATAAACTTTATAAGTCTAAGGTCAACTTGGATCTCCTGAATCACATACCATTGATTTAAAGCATGCCTAAACAGATAACTTAATTATCCAATACATGCTCTAAACAAAAGATTTTTCATTCTTTGACATACCTATTTACTTCAAATAAGTGAACCTTTACATTTGATTAATAAATTAATTAATTTCTTGCTTCTTTAACTGACTTTGCTTCCTGTAGATGCAGCAACTGAAACAGAGTCACCAGAGAGCCTACAAAAGTGGGATGATAAGCATGTCCGCTTGCTCGTTGAAAGCTATGGTCAATTCAAACATCTATTAAAGAAAGGAAAGACAACAAAAAAAGGATGTCTTCCAGAAAATCTGTAACCACTTTAATGAAACTTCGGAGTATAAAGTAACTGTTGATCAGTGTATAAGAAAGTGGGATAAACTTGTTGCAAAGTTTAAACAAGTTGAAGATAACAATAAGCAAACAGGAAAAGCAAGACAAACGTGTAAATTTTATGACAGTCTACAAGAATGTATTGGGGAGAGCCGCAAGGTTAATCCAAGCTACACCTTTGATGTTGCACGTGTGGCCTCTTCTTCATCAAGCCAAAGTGATTCAAATGCAGAATGTGATGACAATGGTGATGAGCTTGAAGATGATGAAAGTGGCAATAGTCTGGAGGGAGCAAAGAATGGAAATAAAAGAGTAAGAAAAAGAAAAAGCCACTCATCAGCGGCTGAGATGCTTACATTTTTGCAGTCCTACTCTGAGAAGAGAGAGAAAGTAGAAAAAGAAAAAATCTCCTTACTAAGAGAGATGCAGAAAGAAAAAAAAGAATTTTTTGGCCAACTTTTGGATGTTCTAAAAAAGAAATAGCTGAGTTAAGCCTTGTTCTGCAGTGTATAATCTCAATATGTTGAACATTATTTTTTTGCTTAAAGTTGTCATGATTCTACTGCATCTGGACATTTTTCTTTGCAGTTTTGTGTTATGATTTTATTTATAATGGTCTGTTCCCTATTTAAGCCTTCCCAGCCCTGAAAAAATCTCAGACATTCAAATGTGTCATTTCTCACTTATGGCCCATTTTCACATCACCACACCACAGTAATAAGTAATAGCTCTAAATTTGAAATTCAAAGAGTAAAAGTCTTTTACTGGCAAAAGCATAGCATACAGTTTATGGTAGTTTCATCAACATTAAATGTACTCCAAAAACAGTTAAGTAGGGAGTGGAGAGGGTTACTATCAATAGGTCTGGTAAGTCGGCAGTGGTTGTTACTGATGCACACCTCAATAATGGATATCCTCCATCTCCAAGGAGATGAGTATCTCCAGGAAATTTATTTACTGCCGTGTGGAAGAGCTCAGAATTACGAAGCACCCTGGAGTCATGGACTGATCCAGGCCATCCAACCAGAACATCAGTGAAAACCATATTGTTATCGCAAACAAGCTGAGGAAGTAAATAAATGGCCCTGTGAGAGGAATTCATTGTATTATCAATTTCAGTTAAATTATATTTACGAATACTTGCTTTTCTGTTACCTGCACATTCAACGAGAAGAACTTTTTTCTGTTTATATATGCATCTGGGTCATCTTCTGGGGCCCGGATCCGGATGTGAGTACCGTCAATCAAACCAATGACGCCAGGGAATCCCCCTTCGTCTTCAAAGCTGGTTCGTATGGCGAGCTTTTCATTTGCTGTAAAACGATTGTCAAAGTAACTAGTCTGCAAATTTATCTTTTACTTGTTTTGCTCTGTGACTGACTAAATAAACTCACCATTAGGCCATCTGATAAATTGACCAGAAAGATCAATTGCCGCTAGTGATACTCGCTTCAGAACCCGGTCCACGCTACTCAGTGTAATGTCGAACCTGTCTGCCACTGTTCGAGCAGGCTCTTGGTTAGCCATACACCAGAGGAAAGCTAAAACTTGTTTTGGGGGTGGGATGGCAGCTCGCCCAGATTCATTCCCAAGTGGTATCCTTCCTGTGGGCATGACGGCGCGAGTGAACAGCTCGCAAATTTCTCTTGTCATTCTGAAGAAACCCTTAAACTCGTTAGGAAAATAGAGAGGTATCGTGCCCTCAAAGTAGTCGCGGACTCGGTTTAAATTCCTACGCATATAGGAGCTACCCACACTGAACAGCGTTATGTCGTCGTCCTCGTCCAATACTTCGCTTATTTCAACTTCATAGTCGTCGAGAAACTCTAAAGCAAGTAAAATAGACAAAGAATCCGCCATCTTTTGATTCCCCTGTTTATTTCGTATTTTCGCCCGAAAATTGGTACGTGATGGACTGGGACGGCTTGGTTCAAACCAACCGGAAAATACTGTTCCATTCGTCACACGGAATACTCGAAATTTCATTCCGGAATTTTTGGTCGAATGGAAAGCGCCCCCCGCATGAGCCTCGAATTCATGATCTAGGCCTACTCGTCCCAGGACTGTCGGAGAATACGAATACTGTCTACTTAGTCAGTCTTTACCCACTCACCTGGTTATTCAACCAATCACAATCTAATAGAAGTTTCCCGACCAGCTGGAAGGCAGTGCCAGTCTCGTCCCTGTTTCTGGTTTCAAGAACATTGCGTCTAACAAAAGAGGAATTCCCCTACTTTCAGTTCTGTCTAAGAAGCTGGATAAATGTGTCTTTCGTATACTTTATAATCGCGGTAACCCAGTCCTTAATCCTCTCCAACATCGCTTTCCACCAAGAGATAAGGAGCTTGCTTCCGATCCAATACATCTTGTGTAACTCAGTTAATACAGCACACGTTCATTTGTTGACTTCATCCCTGGATTTTGGTGGTCAAATAAACAATATTTATTTCAACATGGCGAAAGCATTTGATAGGGTGCCCCATAAGAAGGGTCTAGAAGCTACATACAAAGGTGGATTAAGCGTTATCCAAATTACCGCTTTAGGAATATCCAACGCACTGCTCTTCGAGATTGCATTACAGATATTAGAAGTTTGATGATTGCAGATTAATTAAAACTGCACGATGATAAGACGGAATTTATGATTATTGGCAATCGAGCTCAATTACGGAAGGTAATGTATCTGAAATTGTGATCGGCTTAGCAAAAGTACCAGCTGTAAGGACTGTTGAAAACCTCGGGACGTAGCTTGACTCTTTTTTTCGACATGTGCACATTGGCGTAGTTAACACAGAAAGAGCCAGAGCCAGAGATAAAAAAGGAGACCAATTCTACGGTTTGAAGAATAACATGAAAATTTTATAGCGGCGGTCAGAAAATGAGAAATGCTAGCGGCCACCAAAGTAAAAATGAGTGGCAGCGAAAAAAAAAGGGAAGACGGCTACATACAACAGTTCCTCCATAAAACGTTTAACTCGGAAGTTTCACGTTGCCTTCGTGCAAAACAACGGCAACGAAATGTACAAGAAAGTGTGTTGCACGTGCAAAGTTGTTTTTCGCTAATTAGAGCTACTGTTTTTTTTTTGGCTGTTTTGGTTGCCGTCGCCGCTTAGCATTACACGATTATATATTACCCCGGGCTAAATCTATATATTATAAATAGCTTACGAGCAAGGCTAGAGAAAAAGAGTAAAAGATGTTAAATGAATAAATAATAAATGCAAATTCAATTTAATTAAGTTAACAACCATGTATATTGCAAATAGAAGAAGCCGAGTTTTCAGGACATTTTTGTTATTAAGTCAATTAGGTTAACAATCACGTACATGTATATTGCAAATATACATAAAAAGCCGAGTTTCCAGGAGAGTTTTGTTATGAAGTCGGGTAAGTCAATCTTATCATTTTCTTCAGAATGTTTTAGTAGGTTATGATGAAAGGAACTCTATAGTTCAGGCAGTTTAAATATCACCTAAGTATAGATTATCGTAATAGCCTATAAGTTGGTGTTCCAACCACCCAGCTAAGCAAGCTACAGCGTTTACGAAATGCAGCAGCTCTCCTTGTTAGTAATGTTTCAAAATACGATCTTATTACTCCTACACTTGTTGATTTACATTGGCTTCCAGTAACACATAAGGTAAATTTCAGGATAGCAATGCTTGCTCATAAATGTATCTATGGCAACGCACCTGAATACCTAAGGATTAAATAAGAGTACAACCAGATATAACCTTAGATCGGACGGGGAGATCTTAATTGAGGCTTATAGTGCACTATCTAGGAAGACACTTGGAGACAGGGTTTTCAAGGGCGTAGCGTCCTTTACGCAATTACGCACATGCGTACTTGAGAAATTGGTAGGATTTTTTGAAAGATTTTCTGTTGCAACTAAAAGCCATTTGTAGTGTCGAAAGTCGAGACTTGACCTTGTATCGTGCAGGCTTGTTCCTGTCTGTCTTTAAACCAAAATATACAACAGTTTAAGTAGTGGAATGTGATAAATTCGAAACATTCTTTTAAATGTTCGCCTTCAGGCGATCCCACAATACATTATGTCTTCATGAAAAACGAAGGGGGACTGGGGAAATTCATGCAAACACATTTGTCAGAGTATAACGAAGGAGCCAGGCCACAAAGAATAGACCCTGACTGATTATCATTCCCTTCAGGATTTATCTGAAAAATTTTTCCACTCAAAAGCTATTAATTGGCAGTGTTTTGCTGTCTAGCGATTTACGTTGGAACTGTCATGTGGACAAGATTGCCAAAAAGGGGAACTCTATACTCGATTTTGTGAAAAGGAACTTGTACGCCTGCTCAGAGGAAACCAAAAAAGCAGCATATGTATCACTTGTCAGGCCACATCTAGAGTACGCGACTGCAGTATGGGATCCTTATAGACAGAATCAAATGGAGAAACTAGAAGCAGTCCAAAGTCGTGCAGTGAGATTTATTAAACATGATTATGATTATAACACCCAAATTGAAGAAATCTCTATCTTTGGAATTACTAAGCGAGAGACGAAAATTCCATCGCCTTCAAATTTTCCATAAATCAATGTACAATATTACTTTGCCTGTTCCGCCTTATTTTAAATTGCCAATTAGGGAAACAAGAACTTACTCGTCGAACTCATTTATCCAACCATCTGTACATCATGATTACTATAAGCATAGTTTCTTCCCAAGAACTGTAAGGGACTGGAACTGTTTATTACCTGAAACCAGAGCACTTAATTATTCAGGATTTTGTAGGGCAAAATCATTATAAGTTTTGGTTCAAGTATAGCAATTTCTTAGCTGTATATTTTATTTTTTAGATTTTATTTTTATTGTTATTTCTTAACTCTTCTTGATGTGTAAAACGTGGAAGAGTAAATAAATAGATGTAGATGTTTTTAGTTTTGTATCTCTATGAATGTCAAGAAAGTCTATCAAAGACTACTTTAATGTCGCTCAACTGGAAAATCATGAACCCGACCATGCCGACGATAACTAATCCAGGTAAGCTGAAGCAAACTATTACATACACGTGTGGCGCGGTATCAACGGGAACAGTGCCGGAAATTTAACAACTGAAAGTAAATAAATGCTGGCTGTAACTTTATGTTCCTTTACCGTGCTCGTTGTCGAAATAAAGGAAAAATTCAAAAGTTCGCAAAGGACTAAGCGTGCGGAAAATTTACACAGTCACACGCCGTAATTCTTCCAACTGATGCTTTTAAGGGTCTTTTTTTTAAGCGACAAGCAAAAAAAAAATAGAAGCGACAGTAGATCACAAAGAAGAACGTTTTAAAAGCTTGTTTAATATCACGTTTTATTGTAAACAAGCCCGTAAACTGTCGAAATATGTATTAAAGGAAAGGAAAAAAGTAATTTTGTTGGAAGTTTTTGAGACCATATGGACCAGTGTGCGTACTTGCCAAAATGGACACGCTAAGCCCCTGGCGTTCAAAATAACCAACCTTAGACGCTTAGAA